GAAAAATCCATGAGATCAGCAGTTTTCACAAATACCAAACAACAGGTGTGAATATTAACTGAAGCTCCTGAACCTGAATCTGCAGGATGTTTAGGATAAACACAAGAAGCTTGTGCTGTAAAAACTGGACCAGACTCAGTGAATAACTCCCTAAGGCCCTATGATAACTATTAATTCAGCTACACAGACTAATGAGCAGTGATAACTAACATGTCTTTGGGGTCATCAGGTGGAACCTCCTTTCACCAGTGTTTCGTCTAATTGGTCCCACGACACCTCCAGGAGGCTAGACAGTGATCACTGGCGTCCCAGAGTCACTCCCCTAATGCCAGCCATCACTGCTCCTCACACCACAACTATTTTCTTCCCTTTACCTTGCCTATGCTACCCACACACAACATATAATCACTAGGACAAAAACACACCAGCAGATTCAGCAACACCATCCCTATACCAGTTGGAGAAATTGCGGCCATTTTGAATGAGGGAGCATAGAGTCAGGAGTGCGTGTTGGGTCTAGCTCTCCCCCGCCGGGTTAGGCTGTCTCTCTACTCCCCCTACTCCCCCACTCTCAACAAGCTCACCTAAAACAAACAAACTCGCCTAGACAGTACAGAGCACACCACAGACCAATCAATACAAAAACCAACTCACCTGAACTAACCGCATCGTTAAGAGGCTCACAAACATCGCAAACCCTCCACTTAAAACCACACCTTCTCCCTTCCCTCGCAATTTCGTTAAACCACACGCCCATATTTCCTTCTTTCCTGAGTTCTTTTGTTCTCCTAAATCGCTAAGTGCCCCCCTGCTGGGCCCCAGTCTACCATTACTCTTCTAATCCAAATCACTGACTGGATTCTTGCTGCCTCATCTGACATGTCTTTTACTATTTTCCTCACACTCTGTCCACTTGCTCCTAGCTCCCTTACCAAGAGACAAAACAGACCTTGCTACAAATCCTCTACATCCTACTTCCTACTGGACAAATCCTAACTTTCCATCCTCGCTGCTCTGCTTCTGCCCCTAACTCTGCATACCTGAGCTTTTTTCCTTTCATATGCTTCTTCAACTGAAGCCTCCCATGGAACAGTCAACTCTATGAAATATACTTTCATTCTACTCCTAGACCCAAAGACTATGTCAGGCCTTAACTTTGTACTGGCTATTTCCTGGGGAACAACAAAGCTTCCTCCACAGTCTACCTGCATTTCCCAATCACAAGCATCCTCTAAGCTGCCTTGCCTCCTTGCTGTCTTACCAACTTTCTCTCCCTCAACAAACTTTATTGCAACTCTCTTTGTTTTAGACCCTCCTAAATTTGCCTGCCTCCGTAGGTCTTCTTATTCCTGCAGCTAAGCTTTTTAAAACCTGGTTATGTCGCCACGTGTACCGGCCTTGCGACAGACTAACCTTACAGCCTGAACAAATGTGCTTTAGAGTTGCAGTACCTGGAAACACCAATGCACATAGTGGGGTCTCCATTTACCCAGAGTTTTAGGTTCTGGGGAGTTGGCAATACGTCATATGTTGCCCCTTCAAGAATCTAATGCTACTTTCCTCCTACTCCACAGCTCTTTCCAGCTAAGCTTTTTCTTATCTACCACCTTCCCAATTTAACCACTGTTCCTGCTTAGCCTGAACGCCTGTTATATAATATCTCCTCCTGTCTACGAACTTCCACCACTAGCTTTCTTCCTTTTTCCTTGGGACCTGCTTTACTCCCACCGGTTGCCTGGGCCAAGCCCCCAAGCCTCCCCGGCCTATTTGGACATTACCCACAATCTCTGTATGCCTGAGCGTTGCTTCTGCCTCCTGCACTGCCATTCTTGGATTCCACTTTCTCCCCTTGATTGGGTTGGAACCACCTTACTGACTACCACATCTTACTCCCAGATAACAGGAGCTCTGTCTAACCTTAGTACATTAAACTCTCCACTAGACTAGTTTACTGGGAGCTGAAGTATGCCTTTCCCCTACAGTGCCACCCGTACTTAAGCATCTAGGAACACCTAGCCACTTCCTAATGTAAAAGCTAACTAATCTTTCCATTTTTTTCTGCAGCAGATAATGGAATCTCATAAACAGACATTGGCCACATCAGTCTGGAATAATCCGAACTGCAAACACCACAACTTCAATTTTCCTGGAAGCCTCGATTTATCTATTCTATTCAGTCCCTCGGCCAACATCTTTCCTAAACTGCACTATCTGTTCTCCGTCCTTCAAGTCTGCCTTGTACCACTACCTAGACTCTTTACTGATTTTTCCCTAATTATTGGAATTTTCTCTTCATCTATTACAAACTTCCTATCACTTAGCTTCCCTCTACTTAATAGATACTTCTAGACTTACTAGCTCTAATTTTCTATACTAGCCCACTTTAAGTTTTTATTAAGTCTCTCAAGGTACTCTTTTTCATACATGGCACCGTTGTATTATCAACGTCATGTCATCCATGTTAGGCCCTAATTTGTGTAAGCGCATCCCATCCTGCCGCCTCTCTCCACCTACAACCCACTTAGAAGCCCTAATGATTACCTCCATCGCCATTTGTGAATGCCAATGGAGAAATCGTGCACCCTGCCATAATGCCTATTTCTAGGCCTCTGCCACCCTGTCGTAAAGCCTGCTGTACTTACGCATAGTTTAATGTCTTGGAAATACGACTTACTAAATTAACCACTACTCCAGGGCAAACTCTAAAATTAATTCAAAAACGGCCTCCCAAATAAGGCTATGTGGCCACTGAACCCAAAACGCATTTTGCTTAAGATCCAAAAATTATGACGTTTTTGCAAGTCTCTTTTTCTCTGGTCTTCGCTTTGGCCCTGGAAATTCTATGCCAAAAATCATGGCTAGTGTGCTTCTAACACCCTGCGAAAAACCTGATAGCCTTTTTGACTTGCAGTATCTAATGAAGCTATTTCCTTTCTAAAAAATTAAAAACTAGCTAATCTGTGCGACTATGCTAAAGAAAGATCTTTCCCCTCCACATTAAAGTAGCGAATTCATGCGAAACTGGACTCAGGTCTGAGGATTCCTTCTCCTTAAGGAATAAAACCAAAACCTTCCTGCCTCGCCATTTCTCTAGGTGGAATTGACCTGTTTCTTCCCAAAACTATTTTTTCTAACTGGCCTCCACAAAAACTTTAGGATATCAGGTGCGCTTTTATAAAACCCGGTAGGGACTCCATTTTGGCCCTGGGGCCGAAGAAACCTTTGCGCGCCTGTACAACCTTCCTTCAACCTCCTTTTCCACCTGGGTGGTTTCAAACATCCCATCTCATTGAACTATCTGTTTCCTTATTGGTGGCATGTCAGTGGGAGGCCTATACTTATATTTCTTTGCCTCCAATGTCTGGAAATACGTGTTTCTTAAAATACTTTTTGCACTTTTTTCTAAAACTTTTTGCTTTAAGGCTGCCCTCCCTTCCGTTAAAACAAGTTTCCTTTTAAAACAACTTGAAAAGGGTCCCTGTAAAAAACGTGTTTTCCTTACATATTCTTTCTTCTTTCTCTTTTTTCCTAAAGATATTAGCCCTTCTAAGTAACTGTAGCCTGCCTTCAATCTTCTTTGCAAACACGTCGATTCCCCCCCTCTTTTCCTTTTCCTCTTGTTTGCCTTTTTCTACTGCGCTTTCTAATTGTCTTCTTCCTTAACTAATTTCTCCATTTCCCTTTTGTCGTTCTTAGAACTTAAAAACTAGCGACTCTTTCAAACTCTCTTTCTGTTTCTTGCACCCCAAATCTTTCTGCACCATAAGAGTAGATTATATCTCCCATCTTCTCTAGTCTATCGCTTGCATTTCCTCCTAGTCTGCTTAAAATTAATGACAAATCTCTATTGACTGACTCCCATTCTTTCTTGCTATTTGCCCTCGGCCATTTAACTCTAGTTTTCTGCTCCATATTTCTCTCTCTGACTGGCCTATTCACCTCAGTCTCAGCTGCATCCTCTCTTGTCGCCTCCTCTTCCCCCTCTGTAGCTGTGTTGTTGATATCCTTCGAACTGTGGCTTTCTACCTGTCGCTGGACTTCATCCGACTTATTCGACTGACTTCTTAGAAAGTATCGATCGATGCGGCCACACTGCCTTTCCTTTGCAACACAGCTCTTTCTTCCTTGATGCATTCTAAGGCCTCTAACTGATGTACACTGCACTGCTGCCACACGATTGGCTGATTGGATATTTGCATGAATAAGCAGGTGTACAGGTGTTCTTAATTAAATGCTCAGTGAGTCAACACATACACATTTTGACGTGTGCGTTCAATACAGTCTGTTTTTATCAGTTCCACTGTTTCTATCCGGATTCTGTTTTATCTACTTAATTATTCAGCTGTTTAAAAATTTAAAGTCAAAGTATCTTCAGTTTCAGCAGCACTCACTCCACCTACATTACACCTGTTGCATTCATTCTACCTATGCAACATTTAATACATTTCCAAAGGTTAAATAACAGGGCTATTTTGTATTTTGTTTTATTTAAATGTGTTGCAAATATTTAAAAGAACTTAAGAGACAAAGAGAATTTATAGCAAAAATATAATAGTTTATCATATAAACTTTGCATACATGGGAGTGAGATATCTTTCTCCACCGATCGGGGGGGGGGGTCTGACAGAAACGTTAAAAACAGTCACATTTATGTGTCTATCGTTTGTCATGTGTGCAGAGGATAATACAGGCGCTGTGCTGAGTATATTCTACTCATCAGTGCTGCCCTGTGGCGTCAGAGGGAGGAGATCTGAACCTGAATTGAAGTTGTCGTCATTGATGTTTCAGTAACATGTAAATCTCCTGCAGCTTTTTCCACACATACGGTACATGTCTTCATGTGTCAACAAGTGCAGAAACAACAAACAACAAGTCTCAGTGAACATGTACACAGAGGTTTATTGTCAATGCAATGAAGAGTGAGAAAACACGCTCAGAGTTATAAACAGCCATGTTGTGGAGACTGTTCATCACCTATTGGGAAAAAAAAGAAACACATTAAAGGAAACAAACAAACATGAAAACACATTTTTTTATTGGTCGCCATAAAACACAATTATATTTAACAGAAGTATAGTATGTCATAGATATAAAAAACTAGTGTGTGTTGCATTCGTCTTACTGTTTAACACTTGTACAGCCTGTTCAGTCTGGTGATGTCATTCTTGCTCATCTGGGTGGCTGTGCCAAACTCAACATTAGCGTTGGGGATGGGCACCATGGTGGGCTTATTGTTCCCAGAGAAGGCATACCTGGAATTAATACAGGGGTCGAATTATGAGATTATTGGTTTATTGTTTAAGTTCAGTTCATAATCAATCAGTGATCATCTGAATGAACAGATGTTAGGTGAGCGACCTGTGGTACTGCATGACAGAGTTGTAGTCGTAGGGCGTGTTCAGGTTCAGAGTGTTGATCTTGTCGAAGGCGTACTCCCAACCTGAGAGGTGAGGATCACACAGACGGGTCAGGAAGAACTGAAGAAGCGTCTCTTTCTGTCTCTTCAGGTCTCTTCTGTGTCACATAGATGCACAGGTTCATTTGGCTGAGGGCCTCTCTGATTGGACAGGCCTTGAGGCTAAACTCTGGCGGCTCGTTTGGTCGGTAAGTTCAGTGAGGAAGCTTTCTCTGGATTAACTGATCACAGCTTTAGTTCCCACAATTCTCTTTTTCCCAGAAATTAAAGGTTGTAATGATGTAAATTTAATTGTGGTGCACAATTATATTCTGTATTCAGAGCAACAACTTCGGTTGTCATGGTTACAATAAGAAACATGCGGACTGTACCAAGGGCATGGTACCTACTTTTGTCGCCATAGTTACTATATTAACGGTCATGGCTTGGTTAGGTTTAGGAAAAGATGGTGATTTGGGTTAAAGGAAGTACTTCCTCAACATTAGGCAATCTCTGTTGTCATGGTTACAACATAAACTGCTGGTTTCACACGGGAATCGAACACCGCTCTCCTGAGTCATATTCATCCGTCCACCACCACCTCCTCCTGACGTGGACTCTGTCTCTCTTTATGATACGTCACCGACACTTTTCCCTTTGTTCCTGTCATCATCGCTACGACCACTAGATGTCGCCTAGCAACAAAACTTAACCATGGTAGTAACCTGCTGCAGAGACGACCCACAGGCTCGTTTTTTAAAGGAGGACAGTCTCTATTGGATTTACTTTTTAAATTAGAAATACTTTGAACATCAGTCAAACCACAGGAGTCAGGATTTACTTTCAGTTCAGGTCACGTCACATTAAAACAGGTTCAAGGTTATTTTATTATCAAGATTAGGGATTTTTAATTGAGATGAAATTTAGATGAACTTTGTGGTTATTTTAGAAAATGTGGAATAGCTGCAAGGACTAGTCAATTAATCGAATAGTTGATTGACAGAAAAGGAATGATTAATCATATATTTCTTTAATTAAACTATTATTATTATTATATATATTATATAATGTAACATAATGAGAACGTAAATGTGAGGGGTGTGTGGTTGTATGTGTGTGTGGCCCAGGTGCTGACCGGACTGGATGTTCTCCCACAGGATGCGGATATGCTGGTCTCTGTCGGAGCGACACTGCTCGTGGTTGAAGCCGAGGGCGTGGAGCAGCTCGTGCTGGACGGTGCTGTGGTACAGGCAGCCCTGACGGTCCAGAGACAACGTCTGGGCGTAACCACGGCGCCCAACGTAGGAGTAACATCTGCACCCGTGCAATTAAATAGAAAACAGTTATTTCTAAGATGTAGAACTGTTTCCTTCTTACAGCAGGACTCACTTTAATAGTTTCAGTTTTAGGTCCATAACTGAATCTAATAATTAAATCAAATTTAAATTCTTGTTATTATTATTATCACTATTATTATATACCACAGACTTTTATTAAAACTTCTCACCATGCAAACACACTACCCGGACCGTACCCGCCCAAATCCAATTATGTCAACTGGTTGTCTATTATGTTTTGTGTTTTTTATGTCATCACGTCTTCCATGTCACTCATTTTGTTATTTCACCAATAAAAATATTACTAAATAAATAAAATAAATTTAAAAAATCAAATCTTGTTGAGATCCAAAAGTTGTCAAAGTTCCCAGATACTGTATGTCTGAATATTTCCATTTTGACATAATGCTGCAAAAAGTGATGTTACATTGTGCAATGTTATTTTCCTTTTAAACCGACTTTAAACCAAAGATTTCGTCTGTGATGACTGACACTAACTGATATCCATTATCTTGCATAATGCACAAACACAGGTCTGAGTTAATGAGCTGTGAACAGCTGACAGGGACTCAGACACACAGATTGTTACCCGCTGTCGGACTGGATGCTCAGGTAGTCTCTCTGGTTGGTTCTCTGGACGAAGCGAATGCAGGAGACGTCGGTGAAAGAGTGCAGCCCGCGCTCGATGATGGAGCGCTCGCGGGAAGCTGAGAGGACACACGCAGGTCAGAGAAAACATACACACTGCAGCACATACACATACATGTTCATGAGCATGTGCAGCTTTAATGTTTGACACTTAAGCTACTAAGATCTATTCAGAGAGAGAGTTTTGATTTTACTGGGGCAAACCTGGTTAAATAAAAACAGAATGATTAATTAATTAGAAGAAGAGAGAAAATTAGGAGGGATTATAGTTTAAGTGTGAGAAAAAATGAGTAGATATGCTTATATACACCCAATCAAACATTTGGACTTGTAATAGCAGACTAGCAGCAAATTCCAAAACCAGTAATTTGAGAATCATTGTTATTTGTGTGCAATTTTAACTACAAAGAGGTAAAAAAAAAATAGGTGCGATAATAATAAAAATTAAGAAATTTATGAGAAACCATAATAACCAAAAATATTTAATAAAAGTGAGTTTTTACTCAAACTTTCAGCCAGTTTGATTAGAGAAATTAGAAAACTGCAGGTCTGAAGTAATAAAAGTCATTCAAATAGTCAGCCAAATATCACTCATTTAATACATATATACAGTACACATATACCTATAATTGTTTTGTAGAGAAAGGACTTAAAATCCAACAATAAAACTAAAACATCAATTTCACTCCCAATCAATTTGTATCAATCAGATTTTAAATATATCATGAAAGCTGTGAAATTCTCTACGTTGCATTAAATGTTTCAGTGGACTGTTTTAATAAAACATTTTAAAATTCTTCAGTCACTTACAGAAGTGTGAGGCGATGACGTAGGGCACGTAGACCTTTCCATCACTGGATTTGCCCCACATGCAGCCGCGGGACGTGCACTGATCAGCGTTTCTGTCATTCTCATTGTCATAAGCAATGTCATCTATGACGAAGGGTTCGTCCTCCGTACGCACTGATGGAGGAAAACAATAAAGACTCTCTCAGTAATTTCAATATAAACCACACTGGTTTGACTAAGATTAAAGATTTAATCTGTTTCAAATTAAGTTTAAAGCCTTTCTCATGATCTCCATGTTTGCTATTGAAATTACAACTATACACATGATTTTATTTTGACAGTCTAACTGGCCTGAAGGGCCGACAGATCACCACAGAAAAATTCATGTCAGTATGTTCAAAGGTTTAACTGCTGGTTTCCAACGTTTTTACCTGTTCATGAGCTTTAATAACCAAGTAATGCCCACACCTACAACCCACTCGTCACATGTTGCATACGTCCGTGAGCTGTGAGCCATTCAATTCATTTTAAACGTCTGAAAAGGTAAAAATTTAACAAATAAAAGCCAGAACAAAACCTGTGTAGCAGTAATGTTTTTTCTTCTTTCCTAACTTGTTAATCATCTCTTGCCACTTTATTAGTTACAAGTAGGTGAAGTCAACGGAAACAGTCATGATCTAAATGATGGTTATAATGTTGCTGATTTTGTTTTATGATTATTTTGGAGGATGCAGTTTGTGCTGATGTTGAACTGTGTTGCAAGATAATGCTTACTACTACCATTTATAACTGGTAAAAGGGAGCCTTATAGTAACTTATTGATAAATGGAGATGTGATTTACACTTTACAATAAGGCTCCTTTTGCAAGTTACATATAATAGTAACTTAGATTACTAGTAACTAGGACAGACAGGTACAAATGCTGGATGATGGAGGAAACAAAGAAAAGCTAATTAATGGGATATAAACATGAACGTATTGATCCTGCCTTTCATTCTATTTTATTCATTTAATTTTTATTTTATCTATTTTTATTTTGTTACTTTGATGCTTTTTATATTACTTTACTGTTATTATTGTTGTTATTGTCAGTGTTCATTTTATTTTCTTAGTCTGTGTGAATGTGTGACTGTATGAGTAGATGCATATTTGTACATTGATCCACATACTTTTGGTGCAATAAAAGTAAACAAACTTGACCATATGTGAAGTGTCTTACCAACGTCCTTGTTGGCCTTCCACAGCAGCTCAGAGACTGACAGTTCCTACATCAAGGAGAAGACATGAATCCATTAGTAAGAGCTTTTTTGTCAACATACTGTATAGGCCGTATATCTGCACCACACTCAAGAAGATACAAGTATTTTTGTGCTTCTTTTGTGTCTCTTTTGTCTATTTGTGGTCATTTCTATCTTTTCCAGAGTCACTGTGAGTCTCCTTGTGGTTGTTCAGTGTCCTATTGTAGTTAACGGTAAAGAAATGTTAACAGTCTGTTTAAACAAGGAAGCGTCAAGCAGGCTTTAGCCATATTTTAGCAATATGTTGTACTGAACATCACGACCTCGAGTGAGATAGTAATTTTGTAAAACCGTTCTACGAGCGCCATATTAGTTAACACAAGCTAATAAGAAACAACAGATTATGCTTTGTTTGTATATTTTATCATTTATTTAGCTACGCCAACACAAATAGTCCCGCAACTGGACTAGTAGCTACTGGACTGTTGCTAAGCAACACATAAACAATTTCCTGACCTGCACACTAGCTTACTACATTGTGTACACGTTAACCTCAGGCCAAGTCTGAAAGCAGTTCAAAGCCCACGTAGTTTGCCTTAGCTACAGTGTTAGCCTCATCTTTGCTAATCTGCCGAGGTCGGCTGACATTCATATTAAGGCACCTGGAGGTGTGCGGTGAAGTATCCAGGTTTCTTTCCTTCCCTTCATCCTCTTCCGACGACCATACATCTTTAATTCAAATGTTATTTCTAGAAATATATCCATCTTTGCAAAGTTTGTTACAGTTTAAGATTGACAACGACCGTTAGCGTAACGCTAATCAACGGTTAATAGAACATCTGTTAAGCGGAGTGATACGTGTTGTTAAAAGTCCCGGTACTGATGTACACTGTTGGAATGCCTCTTGTCCAATCAAATTACTTGGTCGGAACTAACTGCAACTAGCACCAATTCTGTGAGTCATTTTTATAATGTTAGTGTGCTGTTTGAGTTCCTTATATGCTCTTAAATTTCCATACATAGCATTGGCAGGTTCTGCTAAGTGTTGCCTTAAATGTGCCTGGATACTCAGCATCACAACAGAACTTTTAAATTATTTTGTTAAGGTTAAAAGTGTGGCGCAGTGGGATGAGCAGGCGCCTCATATGTAGAGGCTTACAGTCCTCGCTGCAGTCGGCCCCGGCTCGATTCTCCCATCGAGCGGCTCTTCACTGCATGTCATTCACCCTCTCTTTGCCTCCCTATTTCCTGTCCCTCTTTACTGTGCTATCCAATAAAGGCATAAAAAGCCCAAAAAAAGAAAAAAGGTTAAAAATTAAAGTACGAAGCACAATGTAGAATTTACTTTCATTCTCTCCATATAGCTACTGCAAATAGTCTACTCAGTATACAGGGAAATAAAATTACATTCTTCAGTGCTATATGGTTTGCACAATAAGAACACTTAGAATAAAAAAAGGATACTAATAAAACCTGTGACAATAAAAATAAAAGACATAAAAATGACAACAAGAACAGAGCCATTAGCACATCAAAATAAATATATTCAATAATACTGAGCTCGTGATTATAAAACTATTATTTTATCCTGCCTCTTTTCTTTATTACAAGTCATTTTTATTTAATTTAAAAAAATATATATTTCATGCAGTTTTTATTTCATATGTCACTGAAGACAAACAGGGCAGAGGCAGTTATAGGATCAGCTGTTGTTTTGGTCCGAATGTGAGAACAGCCAAGTGGCTTTTTTTAAGAAATTAGGGAAAATGCAATTATAAAATAAAAATAAAAGACAAACTTTCAAACAATTGAAACAAAAAATCTGTAATAAACAAGCCTTTCTTAAGAGAACAGGTTGAGTTTTAAACATTTATTTGATTTCAAAATGTTATGGTTATGTTATATATTTGGTCTGAGTTAATGCGCTGTATATTATAAGGTCTATTTATGAATTTAATTTCGATCACTGGGTTCTTCTTGGAGTATTATTATGAATATTGCACCTTTAATTACAATTTTCATGATTCTTTGCTGAATTTGTTTTGTGCATCATGTTATACATTTTCTTCTAATTTAATTTAATTCAGTTGTGTAAAAACAGGAGAAAATCCAAGAGAGACATGAATTTAATCCTCATTTTATCTTTTTGTTGAATCTTGTTATTTTGTACTCGTGAATCTCCTCACCTTGTCTTCAGCCCAGGAGCAGTCGGAGACCACGAGGAGGACCAGGAGACTGAGTGTGTGCTTCAGCAGAGCCATGTTAGCAGCCTGAAGGTGGACAGTGTTAACACCTGGATCCTGCTGCAGCTCCTGTTTATAACCTTCTGTATATCTGTTAACTCCTGAAAATAAAACATGCACTGCTTTGCTTAGTGATAAGACGCACTTTGCCTTGAAAACACGCTGCTGATTCCCACCTTAACTAACCTAAATAAAATCTGCTTGCAGGGGCAAAGATTGTCCTGGGACCTTGTGAGAGTGTTTGTCCTGACGACACCTGGTTAGTGTTTATGGATCCTGGACTACCTGTTGCATAAAGGATAAACTAGATTAATTTAGATTATAATTTTATAAACACTTTGAAAGTTTGGACCAGATACAAACTTCAGAACAAAAGTATTTATTAAATCTTTTTTTTTTTTACTTAATGCAAATTCAAATTTAAGATTTACAATTTGGATGTTTGACACATTTCCAAAGTTGATTATTGTTTCATCTCTTTTTCAAATTCAATTTTACTAAATAGAAAAGCGTACAAGCGTAATATCATGTCTAAACCTTCAGCCACTGTGTTCTCTTTGGTGTCCAGAGACATTGACACCAAATTACCTTAAAAGTTGTGTTCAGTGCAGGAAATTCACAGAGGCTGGCAGATTAGTTCTAGTTAGTTTATATTATTATATATATCATTATATTTCCATAAAACAAACACATTGTTTTCCCATATTCAAATTCATATGCAAAAAAAAATTGACAGCATCAGAGTATTTAGCATGGACTACTACTACTAATAATAATAATACATTTTATTTGGCAGCGCCTTTCACAGCACTCAAGGACACTTTACAGAAGATTAAAAATTATGTTTAATAGATGACACACCCACTGGCTTTTCAAAATAAAACTGGTCAGATTTGTGGGTTTTCTTGTGACCTTTCTCTGTTAGACTTTTTTCAACAGAAGACCATAAGGACGGATGGCCCTTTCTACCATCTTCTGCTGTTCTTCGTCTGACTTTTCTTTGGGGATGCGGATCAGCCAGTACTTATCGTTGTTGTATTCCTTTCTGTACTCGGGGTTGATTCGATTCTGCAGAATCACTTTGTAGCTCTTCTTGTCGTTCTTGGAGGTGAATGTTTTGGCGTATTGCTTCGCCACAGAGATGTCTGGGGTAGAGTAGATCCCATCACCGTACGCATTCACATCGCCTACCTGTTAAATACAAGCATGAAATAGAATTCAACAACTTTCATCCAACTAATCATTACTAACCTATCTCAAACACCTAAATCTTACAACTTTCACTTGTGTTTGTGGATATAATGTGATTCTAGCACACATTCACACATATTTTCTTTGTAAATTTAAACCACATAATGATCATGCTGGTTCTTCTTTTGTGCATAACAGCAAAATTATTTCACTCTTGGTAGTTTTATAGTGACATAGATTTTAACAATTGCTGTTCATGCATGTGAATATATACAGGAAATTCTACCTCTTGTAGCAGTTACCTGTTATATAAGTGGTTCTATTGTGAGTTCAGCAGCAAACACACTGGATCCTACACTCACACACATACTGTATATTTCTTCACATTGATTTGAGCTGTAATAATAAAGAATATAAAAATGAACCTGGTACTTTGTTTTGATGATGCTTTCAACAGGGGAAATAATGTGAAGGTGTGACACTCTACTGCATTAACACTGATAATAATGGATATATAAATTAGACCTTGTAGTGTCCTTCGATGATGCCTTTAGCACCTTCCTCTGATGTCCCGTGGTAGGACACAGGCCACTCCCCTTCCAATGACTCTGTGCTACGGTAACTGGTTCCCAGCCAGGTATCATCATCATACTTACCCAGAACCTGTGACAAAACAATCAATCAATTTATGAAGTGCTTTAAAATAAGCATGATGAAAGTAAAATAGTTCTTCTGCTGGCACACCCCAGGCTCCATCGCTGTGGTTCTTTCCCGTCTCATATAAAGTACTATTTTCTCTAATGAAAAGAAAGATTTATTATATGAGCAGCACCTGATGGTAAAACTTCAGTTCTAAGTGCAAAAGTATGTTCAAAATCAAATTTCAAAAAGGTCCCTGAGGGCTGAAGCCACATTACTTAATAGTATACTATATTCTGTAGTATTTCAGAAAATACTGAAGCAACATGAAGCTGATTTAAAGACACAATAAAAGTACATTCACCTTGAGGGCAAAGCGTTTAAAACCACATGGACGTTCATACTTCTCTCCACCTCTCCAGTAGGTCTGGGTGTCTGTCAAGTGGGTGAAATCATAGTCGAATCCAGGGTCAAAGAATTCCTCCTCATTGATCTTGATGTGAAGCTCAAGCTCTTTTGTTGTTTGATTTTCTCTTACGTCTTGGCTGAGAGGGAAGTAAGACTGGAGTCCAGCTGGGACAGTGTTTGCGAGAGCAGCACTTCCACCACCAAATGCAACAAGTGCATTTTGGAAGATGCTTATTGACCCCTGGCTGTATGAAAGCAGAGGAAGAAATGCAATTTAAAACATATTAGTGGCGTCTTCATGTTATCCTGCACATCTGAAAGATACAGTCTGCTTTCTGTTATGAAACTTTGGGCTCTATTTTAGTGTTCCAAAGCGCATGGTCTGGGTGTGTCCACGTCATAGCGTTGTACTTAGTCTCTTCATTATTCCTTGTAGTGTTTTGGTTCATAACATGCAATAAACCAATCATAGTGCTAGCTCCCATTCCCTCTAAAAGCCAGGTGCACTTGCACCTTGATGTAATGGCGCAGTGTTTGCGCCCAGTCCTGACACAGGCAGCAGCTCTGCACTCTGAATCAGCGCTGCGTGCAGCTCCACAGTGAAGGCTCACTGGTCAGTCAAACATACGTTTCATATAATTTCTTTAAATAGCTATGTACACATATTGCATACATGGACATTCAATACATATAGTACATTTGCGTGCAATAGTTACCGGGTTTGATCAGCATGCAGCACTGCAGGGATGAGCTGCTTGATGGAAAACAGCTCTGCATGTCCAAAATCAGCAGAAAACGAAGTCCCATCTCGTGATCTTTGTTGAACAGAAGTTACTTTGGCATTGCAGAGGACGCCCAAAGCTTCAAGTGCAATCTCTCTGCCGATCATCTTGATGTTGTGGTTTGCTTTGCTTGTTTCCTCCAAAAAATATAAATGCGTATGGAACTGGGCTTGTATTTATAATCCCTCCTCACATTTCAGTTTTAAACATCACAAAAAAAAAATCCCCAAGTCACTCCTGGGGGATTTGTTGAGTCAAAGTGAAAGTGAAACCTGCTCTCCGGTTAATACAGCAGTTATCAGCAGCTCCCTGTTCAAACTTTGTCGCTATAATTTATTTTAATAATTTATTTTATTTTATAGCATAGAAGGGCAACGGGAGAGGCAAACATATTTTATTGATAGATAGATGGTGTGTTTCACAAAATGATATATTTGTCTTTGTGTATTTTAATAAGAGCTTTGCAAAGGATCAGCCTACAGTAGATAGATAGTGACTGTTATTATAGTAACCATGGCGACGATCGGTACACTGCTGTTGGTACAGTAGCATGTTTATTATGGTAACCATGACAACCGAGGTCTGGGCTAAACATGCCGCCGTAGGAGACGCCACTGTAGGTCGTATCAGAGGGTTGAAAAAAACGACCTGTATGGTCATTTAGGTCGGAGGAGTGGTTTTGTTATTTTGAACCCTTGTTACTGGAAGGGGAATGAGTATGCAACATGACACCACACTGATGCATAAAGTATGTAGCCACTTTAGTACTGTGTTGTTTAAGGGTTAATATGCCGACAATACTAAAAACACAAGCAAAAAATATACAAGAAAACACATATTTACTCAGTTCCCTCTGCTTGTATCAAGCCATGCAGATAGTTGTGATTTTATTTGCCCAGGTTCTGAAAAGCACATCTGCCTCTGAGTATTACTCCTCCACTTAAACACGAAAAAAATTACATTTAAAAACTTCAAAAGCAACATCTCTTTTCCAGACTCACTGTTCAGTGAGGTCTGTGGATTATTATCACTACAGGTAATTAGTGAGAAAATATGTTTATGTAATATTCATGACTCAGTCCTTTAAAGGAGAAATCAGAGGGAGAATGCTTAGAGAGAGAACAGGACTGCTGGACTGAGTAGAGTAATGGGCAGAACAAATAACCATCTTTCTGTTTTGTCCCATTAGTGTGTAATAGTTTCAGTTTCAGCATCACCCCAGCCCAGTGGAGTAAAAGACTCTTTGAGCAGCTTACAAAGGTCTTTCCAGAAAACTTTAAAAAGAACATGAATAAGAAAGATAAGGGTTATGTAATAACTGTTGCTTTGTTCGTGGAGATGAAGAAACAGTTGATACCCCAAGTTAGTTACTTGAAATATTAGAATGGGGCAGACAATCAACAAGGAAGGAAACACAAGACAAACACAGGAAGTAACAGAATTCAACAACTAAGTTGGTGGAGTACTCTTAAGTAATTTGTATTTCAGATACTGCTTTTGCTAAATGGAAAAGAGTTTTACCAAGTAGAAAAGCACACAAGTATATTACAATGTCTGTAAACATTCACCCACTGTGTTCTCTTTGGTGTGCAGAGACATTGATACAAATTTCTTTAAATATTATTTAATGTATTGTGGCTTCCTGAAAAAACAAAATCAGTTTCAATTTCAGAAAGAAAATAAATGCTAAATAAACAGACCATGCGTAGATTCAGTACCTCCCCATGAGTGCAGACATGACGCCTGTAATGGACATTGATGAGCTTAAAGTCATTCCAACAGGAAACCCTCAAACCTGTGAACTTTGTGACTGAAGCCATGTGACAGTGGCATTGCAAAGGAAGTGTCTCAAGTTTAACCCATCTGTCAGTCATTTTGAAGTTCGACTGAAGTCCGACTGTGTCCTGGCTCTGGTAAAGAACACACAGAGTTCAGGGTGGGGTTCAAAGAGAAAAGGAACAGCCCATTAGGATCATGTTACACAGCTATAAACAGTGTCCAGTAAACACACTGCAGCATCTCACGTGGAAGTAGTTTCACTTTCAATGTCGGGAGTGTCTTTGAGGAAATCAGCTGTCTGCTAGGAAATTCCATTAAAGTCTGCTGGTTACACTGCGACCATGGTTCTCCGAGTGAAAAGAAAAGTGAAAGAGAAAAACATTATCAGTCCACCTGGATACATATTTATATTTATATATATTATATTTAAACAGCTGAATAAAGTAAAGTCCCTCTTCACACATGAGTGTTAAACAGACCAACAAACTTTGATTTGAAATGTTTGTGATAAAACTTCAAACACTTTGAAGTTTTGGACCAGGATACAAACTTTAGAATAAAAGCTTTTAATCTCTTTTTTTGACTTGAGTTTGACTTGCAAACTTTAGATTTACAATTTGGATGTTTGACACATTTCTAAAGTTGATTATTGTTTCATCTCTTTTTCAAATTCAATTTTACTAAATAGAAAAGCGTACAAGTGTAATATCATGTCTAAACCTTCAGCCACTGTGTTCTCTTTGGTGTCCAGAGACATTGACACCAAATTACCTTAAAACCTAATTTCATGTATTATGGTTTATTGGAAAATAGAAATGTTCAGTGCAGGAAATTCACAGAGGCTGGCAGATTAGTTCTAGTTTGTTTATTCCATATTTCCATAAAACAAACACAAACAATTATTTTCCCATATTCAAATTCATATGCAAATTGAAGAGTGTTTAGTATGGACAACTAATGTTTAATAGATGACACACCCACTGGCTTTTCAAAATAAAACTGGTCAGATTTGTGGGTTTTCTTGTGATCTTTCTGTGTTAGACCTCTTTCAACAGAAGGCCATAAGGACGGATGGCCCTTTCTACCATCTCCTGCTCTTCTTCATCAGATGTACCTTTGGGGATGGGGATCAGCCAGTACTTAGGGTATTTGCATATCTTTCTGTACTTGGGGTTGATTCGATTCTGCAGAATCACTTTGTACCTCTTGCCATTCTTCTCGGAGGTGAATGTTTTGGCGTATTGATTCGCCTCAGAGATGTCTGGGGTAGAATAAATCCCCCTGCCATACGCCTGCCCAGAGCCCGGCTGTTGAATACAAGTGTGAATATAAATTCATTAACATCAATTGTATATTATCTTTAAAACTTACAACAGTTTCTAATACAATACCAACAGTCAAATACAGTGTTTCTATTTCTTAGTACAGGAAATAGTAATCAGGGCGGCTGTGACAAGCCTCCTGAAGTTAAATCTAAAGCTGTAAAGGGCGTTTCTTTCTAGCACGACAAACTGCTGGCGAGTTTTTTAAATTAAATTTGCAGCACAAATGAGATTCCATTTACCTCCATTTAAATAAAGCGAAGGCAGAAATATCGGAGGTGGTTTACCAGGCATGAAAATGAATAAATGTATGTATTTGAATCTTATGTGCTACTCAGTAATGCAGTTACCAGGGAAAATAATGTGAAGGTGTGACACTCTACTGCATTAACACTGATAATAATGGATATGTAAATCAGACCTCGTAGTGTCCTTCAATGATGCCCTCAGCACCTTTCTTTGATGTCCCATGGTAGGACACAGGCCACTCCCCTGGACATGACTGGGTGCTACGGTAACTGGTTCCCAGCCAGGTAGCTTCATCATACTTATCCAGGACCTGTGACAAAATATTGACATCATGTGACATCAGATATTTTAGCTGGTGTCTGATGAAGCAGTGACGTTAATTATTATCAGTTATCTGGGAGACAGTAAGTTCCAGCAGAGATTCTATTGAGACCATAGTGACAGTCATCCTTTGGTTTCTTAGGGGTTGTTAGAGACCAGAAAGATTTGCTATGTTATTATATTAATGGTTACTTCTATTTAGCTGTGAAGTTCAAAAGGTACAATCACACATATTATACAGCCCAAATCCCAAAACGTCCTCCAACCTCATCACTGACATTCAACAAAATTCACACTTACATTTCACAACTGGATGTAAATTCTGGGATTAAAGTCAAATAAAACAGATTTATTCACCTTAAGCCCAAAACGGTACCAACCACTTGGGCGTTCATACTTCTCTCCACCTCTCCAGAAAGTCTCAGTGTCCTTCAAATTTTTGAAATCATAGTCGAACTGCGGGGCAAAGAACTCATCATCATCGATGATGTGGTTCCTTCCTGTTGCAGTGTCCACCACTCCGGGGAAGAAAGCTGGCGCAGCACTGCCTTGCAGGATGGATTGGATGTGGGAGAAGCAGCATTTTGACACCTCGCTGTAATGTGAGGGGTAGAGATGCAGTTTCAAAGCACATTAATCTCAGTCTCTTCTTGCAGTCATTCACATTTTACCACTTAGAGTACTCCCTAACCACACTAAAGCTTTTCTCCTAAATCCTCTTCACAAAGCTGCTGAGACAAACTTTGACTAAAGAGAAGTGAAAACTCCTGAGCTAAGAGTCCGTTGCTATGGCTGACGTCAGTTTTTATGGACGGGCTTGCTTGTTTGCAAGAACCAGAGAGAATGGTTGATCAGTCTGGTCTGTGCTGGTGAAACAATGCGCAACATCCCCCAGTAATAAAGAAATAAACTAATATAAATGATAAGATTACGATGATTAGATTCTGTCTACAAAAGAAGTGCATTCTCCACTATGTATCTGTATGATAAGGTTTGTTTAGACCAAGATGATTTAATCTTACAATAAAAGTTTACGTTCAGTCCTACGGAAGACGATTAGGGCCACATGTGAATGTTTTTTTAAGAGTCCTGACTTTAATCTCAGAATTCTTTTTAAAAAATTTTTTTTAAAAAGTCAGAATTTTTTTTTAAAAGTCAAAAAGTCTGAGTTTAAACTCAGAATTCAGACTTTAATCTCAAAATTCTGAGAAAAAAGTAATAATTCTGGGTTCTGACTCGGTAGATTAAAGTCTCTTAGAATCTCAGAATTCTGAGCTTTGATTTATATCCAGATTACATGTTCACAACACATACTGCAAATAGGAAAATGTGTTCACCAACTCTCATGACTGTTAGATCAAATATACAATCTTTTTAAACCTGCAGTGTGCCCCAGTTTAAAAACTAGCTCTTTAGGATTGCGGGTAACAAAAACCACAGTTCTAATAATTACCTGGTTTCATCTGCGTCCAGGACGGTACAGATGAGATTCTTGATGGACAGCTGCTCCTGATGTGCTGCTCTCCCACCACTGCAGTCATGAGAGCTTTGTGACCTTTGAATTTGAACAGATGTTACACTGGCGTTGCAGAGGACACCCAAAGCCTCGAGTGCAATGTCTCTATCGATCATATTTACAGTTAGCTCTTGTATCACAAAAGTAATGAACTGTGTTGTTTGAAAGGAAAGTCTGAGATTTCTAGAGTCCTGTCTTCAGGCTGGAAACCCAATAGACTGAAGAAGGAAGTAAAGCTCGTATTTATAAGCAGATATCCGCTGATCTAAACAGATAAGGGTTATGTAATAACTGTTGCTTTTTTTGTGGAGATGAAGCAACAGGTGATACCTGCCGAGTTAGTTACTTGCACCAGCCTGCATGGCACATTGTGTCATTAGTAATTCAGCGCTGTACCTCAGGGTGAGGATGTGCAACACACCCGCCTGTTAACCCATGAGCACCAGCGTTGCTCTCATAAACAACTGATGTACAGCAGCAAATAGCAAATACACAAAATAAATGAATACCGTAAATTTCGGACTATAAGCCGCTACTTTTTTCACACGCTTTGAACCCTGCGGCCTATACAACGATGCGGCTAAATTATAGATTTTTACTGGCCAAAGGCCTCCAGGGGGCGCTCTAACAGGAAGCGCAAAAGTGAGACAGACATGTGGGGAAAGATTATGCGCCGAAGAAGACATGGTAGTTTTGATTTTGATTTTGAACTGGAAATGGAAAACACACGGAGAAATGCGTATGATGCGGCTTTTAAGTTAAAGGCAATCGATTTGGCCGTCAAAGAGGGAAATAGAGCTACTGCATGTAAGCTTGATATCGATGAATCGATGGTGAGACTTTGGAGGCGGCAGTGGGAAGAACTGAGTCAATGTAAAAAGATGGCAGAAACTGGCCGTGTTGGTGCCCTACAGGCAGTTTGAAAAAAAGCACGTCTTGAATTAAATCTTTAAAAAAAAATCTTCCGTGTAATGTATTTCTGTGTACGTAAATATCTCATGTTACAACATGAAAACCTGCGGCTTATAGTCAAGTGCGGCCTATATATGTACAAAATTTATTTTCTTGTAAAATTTAGCTGGTGCGGCTGATATTCAGGTGCGCTCAATAGTCCGAGATTTACGGTAAATCCATGACCTGAGGAAGAAACAACGTTCTCACACTTCTGTCACAACTGCAGCTTTGTTTCACAAGAAGTTGAGGGACAGAACACGCCCTGATTACCTTCACTTTTCTGGTTTGTCGTTTGTAACAACTTTTACAAGTTCATTATAGAACTTCATCTGAACTTCAGCTCATTTCCAGTGAAATGGTAAAACAAACACACACACACACACACACACACACACACACACACACGTATGACTACAGGTAGAGAAGATAGCTAATGTAATTAAAATTGACTATTTACTATGAAAAGATAATGTTTGATCACTCATTGTTGTTAAAATGACACATTTAATGATATTCCACTGTATATATGGTGAAATCTTTTCATAAGTGTGATTTTTTTACAGTGTAAAAACATGCTTGACTAAAGGTAAAGGTAGTGACGCTAAGGTAGTAAATTAGCAATTTTCATGAAATAAAAAGCGTTATGAACATTCACTGTTATTAATATCACACATTTAATGTTATTTCATTATATATGTGATGAATAATGTATATATCAGTATGATTTGCAAATATAATATAATATAATATACAAATCAGGAATGCTTCGCAACATACCAGCAAAACTACAGTGGATTTAATGGCCAAAAAACATTTGTGCTGTTGCACCGCCACAGAGATGAGCAAGTTCAATTCATCTCTTGAAAAAGAAAGCAAAGAAGCATTTTCTTTGACTTTTTCTGAACGTTTTTGGTATTTGTAAATGTATTTATACTTTCACCATAAAGGGACTTCTCAATTGTTTGGTAGAGGTCTATAACTAAACAACTACGGGGTCTGTATCAAAAAACAAAAAAACAATTGATTGTTGTTGTTATTGACCCAAGTAAAAAAAAATGCAAAGAAAAATTTTTTCCATTGCTTTTTTCTTGTAGAGGACATTAAAGGGTTTTAACCGATGAGCTCCAGCGTTGCTCTCAGAAACAATTGTGATGTACACGTTCATATTTAGAGTGTAATATATAGTGTATACAATATAAAATTGATTTTGAATGTGAGGAGCCTGAGTAGCAAATACACAAAATAAATGAATAAATCCAAAACTCCACGAAGAAACAACACTGTCACACATCTGTCACAAGTGCAGCTTTGTTTCAGAGGAATGTCAGGAACAGAACACACCCTGATCACCCTGATTACCTTCACCTTTCTGGTTTGTCCTGTTTATATCCTGATAACGATCTGTACTTTGAACTAAATCTAATTTCATATGAAATGGTAATAAACACACACACACACACACACACACACACACACACACACACACACACACACACACACACAAACACGTCTTACTACACTTGAGAGGACAGTGAATCTCTTCAGTGGAAGTGAGTGTATTGCGTAAGTCTGTTTCCGTTGAACTCGATCACATTTTGCTTTTATCAAACACCAACTTTTTGACCTCAGCCATGCACAAAAGCTTTTCATGATATTTTGAGATTTAACTTTTTTAAATGAAAATGCACATAAGCCAAGTCACCCATGGAGCCACATTGATAGCCAGGTTCGCAAACCTGTGCAAGTCGGTGGTAGAGAGTCCAGACGCTCTGGAGCGATTTGGGAGCAGAGACCAAGTCTGAACACTTGTGCCAAATTTGAAGAAGTTCCATCAAGGCGTCACTGAGATATCGTGTCCACGAGAACGGGACGGACGGACGAGCGCTTTTTTCATTCTTTACTTTTCTCTTTAAGTGCAACAATATGAATGTCCTCCAGGAGAGACTGTCTGAAAATGTCTGTTTTATTTCCTACTTATCGTGTTCTGTGAGGTCAATGTGACCTTTGACCTTATCCTGAAGAAATTCCCTCAAGGCGTTACGGAGATACACACACAAGTGTTGAATAGACCAACAAAATCTGATTTGAAATGTTTATGACAAAACTCCAAACACTTTGAAAGTTTGGACCGGATACAAACTTCAGAATAAAAGTATTTATTAAATCTTTTTTTTCTTTTACTTAATGCAAATGGAAACTTTAGATTTACAATTTGGATGTTTGACACATTTCCAAAGTTGATTATTGTTTCATCTGTGTTTCAAATTCAATTTTACTAAATAGAAAAGCGTACAAGTGTAATATCATGTCTAAACCTTCAGCCACTGTGTTCTCTTTGGTGTCCAGAGACACTGACACCAAATTACCTTAAAACCTAATTTCATGTATTATGGCTTATTGGAAAATAGAAATGTTCAGTGCAGGAAATTCACAGAGGCTGGCAGATTAGTTCTAGTTTGTTTATTCCATATTTCCATAAAACAAACACAAACAATTATTTTCCCATATTCAAATTCATATGCAAATTGAAGAGTGTTTAGTATGGACAACTAATGTTTAATAGATGACACACCCACTGGCTTTTCAAAATAAAACTGGTCAGATTTGTGGGTTTTCTTGTGATCTTTCTGTGTTAGACCTCTTTCAACAGAAGGCCATAAGGACGGATGGCCCTTTCTACCATCTTCTGCTCTTCTTCGTCCGATGTTCCTTTGGGGATGGGGATCAGCCAGTACTTATCGTTGTTGTATTTCTGTCTGTACTTGGGGTTGATTCGATTCTGCAGAATCACTTTGTACCTCTTGCCATTCTTCTCGGAGGTGAATGTTTTGGCGTATTGATTCGCCTCAGAGATGTCTGGGGTAGAATAAATCCCCCTGCCATACGCCTGCCCAGAGCCCGGCTGTTGAATACAAGTGTGAATATAAATTTATTAACATCAATTGTGTATTATCTTTAAAACTTACACCAGTTTCTAATACAATACCAACAGTCAAATACAGTGTTTCTATTTCTTAGTACAGGAAATAGTAATCAGGGCGGCTGTGACAAGCCTCCTGAAGTTAAATCTAAAGCTGTAAAGGGCGTTTCTTTCTAGTACGACAAACTGCTGGTGAGTTTTTTAAATTAAATTTGCAGCACAAATGAGATTCCATTTACCTCCATTTAAATAAAGCGAAGGCAGAAATATCGGAGGTGGTTTACCAGGCATGAAAATGAATAAATGTATGTATTTGAATCTTATGTGCTACTCAGTAATGCAGTTACCAGGGAAAATAATGTGAAGGTGTGACACTCTACTGCATTAACACTGATAATAATGGATATGTAAATCAGACCTTGTAGTATTCTTCGATGATGCCCTCAGAACCTTTCTTTGATGTCCCATGGTAGGACACAGGCCACTCCCCTGGACATGACTGGGTGCTACGGTAACTGGTTCCCAGCCAGGTAGCTTCATCATACTTATCCAGGACCTGTGACAAAATATTGACATCATGTGACATCAGATATTTTAGCTGGTGTCTGATGAATGAGGCCTTTTCTACTTTTTCATGGAGGGATTACAGTTTGAAATTCAGTTATTCCATTAGTAAGTAATGTTTATTTACATATCACCTTTTACAGATTAAAGAATGTTGTGGCCCATAGTCACATATAGGGGTGGGTGATCTGGTAAAAATATCATATGATAATCTTTTTTTTTTTGGTAAAATCGCAATCCACGATCTTAATCATCATCTGCATTCTATTTCCGCTCTGATTTTATTGTGAAAGTATATTAATGATTACTTCTATTTAGCTGTGAAGTTCAAAAGGTACAATCACACATATTATACAGCCCAAATCCCAAAACGTCCTCCAACCTCATCACTGACATTCAACAAAATTCACACTTACATTTCACAACTGGATGTAAATTCTGGGATTAAAGTCAAATAAAACAGATTTATTCACCTTAAGCCCAAAACGGTACCAACCACTTGGGCGTTCATACTTCTCTCCACCTCTCCAGAAAGTCTCAGTGTCCTTCAAATTTTTGAAATCATAGTCGAACTGCCGGGCAAAGAACTCATCATCATCGATGATGTGGTTCCTTCCTGTTGCAGTGTCCACCACTCCGGGGAAGAAAGCTGGCGCAGCACTGCCTTGCAGGATGGATTGGATGTGGGAGAAGCAGCATTTTGACACCTCGCTGTAATGTGAGGGGTAGAGATGCAGTTTCAAAGCACATTAATCTCAGTCTCTTCTTGCAGTCATTCACATTTTACCACTTAGAGTACTCCCTAACCACACTAAAGCTTTTCTCCTAAATCCTCTTCACAAAGCTGCTGAGACAAACTTTGACTAAAGAGAAGTGAAAACTCCTGAGCTAAGAGTCCGTTGCTATGGCTGACGTCAGTTTTTATGGACGGGCTTGCTTGTTTGCAAGAACCAGAGAGAATGGTTGATCAGTCTGGTCTGTGCTGGTGAAAACGCATGCGCAACATCCCCCAGTAATAAAGAAATAAACTAATATAAATGATAAGATTACGATGATTAGATTCTGTCTACAAAAGAAGTGCATTCTCCACTATGTATCTGTATGATAAGGTTTGTTTAGACCAAGATGATTTAATCTTACAATAAAAGTTTACGTTCAGTCCTACGGAAGACGATTAGGGCCACATGTGAATGTTTTTTTAAGAGTCCTGACTTTAATCTCAGAATTCTTTTTAAAAAATTTTTTTTAAAAAGTCAGAATTTTTTTTAAAAAAAGTCAAAAAGTCTGAGCTTAAACTCAGAATTCAGACTTTAATCTCAAAATTCTGAGAAAAAAGTAATAATTCTGGGTTCTGACTCGGTAGATTAAAGTCTCTTAGAATCTCAGAATTCTGAGCTTTGATTTATATCCAGATTACATGTTCACAACACATACTGCAAATAGGAAAATGTGTTCACCAACTCTCATGACTGTTAGATCAAATATACAATCTTTTTAAACCTGCAGTGTGCCCCAGTTTAAAAACTAGCTCTTTAGGATTGTGGGTAACAAAAACCACAGTTCTAATAATTACCTGGTTTCATCTGCGTCCAGGACGGTACAGATGAGATTCTTGATGGACAGCTGCTCCTGATGTGCTGCTCTCCCACCACTGCAGTCATGAGAGCTTTGTGACCTTTGAATTTGAACAGATGTTACACTGGCGTTGCAGAGGACACCCAAAGCCTCGAGTGCAATGTCTCTATCGATCATATTTACAGTTAGCTCTTGTATCACAAAAGTAATGAACTGTGTTGTTTGAAAGGAAAGTCTGAGATTTCTAGAGTCCTGTCTTCAGGCTGGAAACCCAATAGACTGAAGAAGGAAGTAAAGCTCGTATTTATAAGCAGATATCCGCTGATCTAAACAGATAAGGGTTATGTAATAACTGTTGCTTTTTTTGTGGAGATGAAGCAACAGGTGATACCCCAAGTTAGTTACTTGCACCAGCCTGCATGGCACATTGTGTCATTAGTAATTCAGCGCTGTACCTCAGGGTGAGGATGTGCAACACACCCGCCTGTTAACCCATGAGCACCAGCGTTGCTCTCATAAACAACTGATGTACAGCAGCAAATAGCAAATACACAAAATAAATGAATAAATCCATGACCTGAGGAAGAAACAACATTCTCACACTTCTGTCACAACTGCAGCTTTGTTTCACAAGAAGTTGAGGGACAGAACACGCCCTGATCAACTTCACTTTTCTGGTTTTGTGATTGTAACAACTTTTACAAGTTCATAAGAACTTCATCTGAAACTTCGCTCATTTCCAGTGAAATGGTCACACACACACACACACACACACACACACACACACACACACACACACACACACACACACACACACACACACACAACACACACACACACACCACACACAACAACACACACACACACACACACACACACACACACACACACACACACACACTGAGAGGACAGTGAATCTCTTCAGTGGAAGTGAGTGTATTGCGTAAGTCTGTTTCCGTTGAACTCGATCACATTTTGCTTTTATCAAACACCAACTTTTTGACCTCAGCCATGCACAAAAGCTTTTCATGATATTTTGAGATTTAACTTTTTTAAATGAAAATGCACATAAGCCAAGTCACCCATGGAGCCACATTGATAGCCAGGTTCGCAACCCTGTGCAAGGCGGTGGTAGAGAGTCCAGACGCTCTGGAGCGATTTGGGAGCAGAGACCAAGTCTGAACACTTGTGCCAAATTTGAAGAAGTTCCATCAAGGCGTCACTGAGATATCGTGTCCACGAGAACGGGACGGACGGACGAGCGCTTTTTTCATTCTTTCCAAAGTTGATTATTGTTTCATCTCTTTTTCAAATTCAATTTTACTAAATAGAAAAGCGTACAAGCGTAATATCAAACATTCAGCCACTGTGTTCTCTTTGGTGTCCAGAAACCACCAACTTAATTTCATGTATTATGGCTTATTGGAAAATAGAAATGTTCAGTGCAGGAAATTCACAGAGGCTGGCAGATTAGTTCTAGTTTGTTTATTCCATAAAACAAACACATATTATTTTCACATATTCAAATTCATATGCAAATTAAATTTGACAGCATCAGAGTATTTAGCATGGACTACTAATGTTTAATAGATGACACACCCACTGGCTTTTCAAAATAAAACTGGTCAGATTTGTGGGTTTTCTTGTGATCTTTCTGTGTTAGACCTCTTTCAACAGAAGGCCATAAGGACGGATGGCCCTTTCTACCATCTTCTGCTCTTCTTCGTCCGATGTTCCTTTGGGGATGGGGATCAGCCAGTACTTATCGTTGTTGTATTTCTCTCTGTACTTTGGGTTGATTCGATTCTGCAGAATCACTTTGTACTTCTTCTTGTCCTTCTTGGAGGTGAATGTTTTGGCGTATTGCTTCGCCTCAGAGATGTCTGGGGTAGAATAAACCCCCCTGCCATACTTCTCCCGTGGGCCCGGCTGTTGAATACAAGTGTGAATATAAATTTATTAACATCAATTGTGTATTATCTTTAAAACTTACAACTGTTTTCTAATACAATACCAACAGTCAAATACAAGTTGTGTTTCAATTCAGAGGCCGCATCCCTTGGAGGACACGGTTTACGAAGGTGTGGCCCTTCGTAGTCGTCGTAGACCGTGAAGGCCTCTTCACCACGAGGTCAAGGACAGATGTAAAGGAGAATTCATGAAGACTTAGGAAAAGATAATCACAGTGTGGACAGAGTCCGACAGCACTTACACTAAACTTTTTTTTTTTTTAAACTAACTTCATAACACTTGCATGAGAAAGTCTTTTGTCTTTCCTAACCACAAAAACAAAGCAAACAGGATTGAAATTTTGAAATAAGATAACATGAAAGGAATATTCCAATAGAGAAAGTTGAGCCATTAAAATAATAAATAGAAATAAGGTTTAGGTCATAGTTTCTGTCACAGTTGCTTTTATCATTCCTACAATTGTCAACTTCTTTTTAGTGCTTTACACAATGGGAGGGCATTTAGTGAAACGACATTTATGTATAGGCTATAGTATTTTGTTATGATGATGATATTGTTAAGTAGAAATTCAATATATTTGTTTTTTCATGATGACTCCTAACTGGACAGATTTGAATGAGAATGGATCTATATTTATCAATTTGTGCTTCAATTCGATGAGACAAGGACTTCGATAAGTGTTTATTGTGTCACAAACATAAAACATGGCTGCTGCTGCTGCTGCTGCTTAGATACTTCCGGGTCATTTCACTCAGTTAGGAACCTTCCTAACCCAAAAAAAGTTTTCGACCGTAGTCCACGGAGGATTTTCGCTGTGCGTCACCAGCTGTTCCCGCCCTTCCCGTTGCGTCGCAAAACGCGGCTCCTGTCGCCTAGCAACCTTGACAATGTAACTTTTTTTTCACAAAAACGTGAGGTATTAAGGCCCTTAACCGCTGCACCGTTAGCTGTTGAACTGAGCCGAAACACAATACTTACATTTAAAAGTGTCTCTCTGTTGATGTTGTTTGCTTTCATTACCGCCACGCAATGAATCTTGGGATAGGTTGGGCCACGAGGGCTTCACCCATTGGATCCTTCTTTGTCCAGGAAAGGAAGGACGTATTTCTTGGCTGCATTTGAAGGACCCTTCGAAATCATGGACGTATCATAAGAACAACAATTATAACAATCGGTCCTCAAAAGCAGCCCAATAGGGAGCATTGACTGACAGGGACACAGTTACAGTGTTCCTGACTGGAAATAGTGATCTCATTATGATCTTTTCCCTCTTGGTCTCTCAACAACGTTTTTGTGATGGTTTGCAAATGGTTCTTTTTAAAAAATCATATTAATTACTGTAAAATTTAACTATTCTAAACAAAGACAGGAGGTCTTTTTATATTTTAAACCTTCAGTTTAAGTTTAAAACCAAAAACCGTCGTCAGTATGAGTAGCCTACTGGGAAAACAGCTAATGGCTTTTTGAGTAAATATGTTAAAACGACAGTTCACACAGTGAAAACTGACCTGGAGCCAGTCAGGACGGCTGTGACAAGCCAAAATAACTGTAAAATCGATTACTCTCAAATTATATATATATATATATATATATATATATAAATAAAGTGTCACACCTTCACATTAACACAGATAATACTGAATATACAAATTAGACCTTGTAGTGTCCTTCGATGATGCCCTCAGAACCTTTCTTTGATGTCCCGTGGTAGGACACAGGCCACTCCCCTGGACATGACTGGGTGCTACGGTATCTGGTTCCCAGCCAGGTAACTTCATCATACTTATCCAGGACCTGTGACAAAATATTGACATCATGTGACATCAGATATTTTGGCCAGTTTCTGATGAATCAGTTTTATTGGTAGGCCTTTTCTACTTTTTCATGGAGGGATTACAGTTTGAAATCCAGTAATTACATTAGTAAGTAAAGTTTATTTACATATCACCTTTCACAGATAAAAAAAAGTTACGGAAATTGAGAAAGGCCATACCCGCAAATATTTTCTTAATGCCGCTATCTTGAGATAATGGAGCTTTGTTATGTCGAGATAACAGAATAGTTAATGAAACGAACTCTACCTGCAGCCAGACACAGTCAGAGACGTGCTGAGTAACAGATATTTTCCTCAGGGTTTGGTAGACACCAGAAACAGATTTGCTATATCATTGATTATTTCTATTTAAGTTATTGAAGTTTAAAATGTGTGGAAGAAAATTACACAGCCCATATTCAAAACATTGCTGACATTCAACAAAATTCACATTTTAATTTCACAAGTAAACTGGATGTAAATTCTGGGATTAAAGTCAAATAAAACAGAGATACATTCACCTTGAGGCCAAAACGGTACCAACCACAAGGGCGTTCATACTTCTCTCCACCTCTCAAGTAAGTCTCAGTGTCCGTCAAACTGGTGAAATCATAGTCGAACTGCGGGGCAAAGAATTCGTCCTCATCGATGATGTGGCTCCTTCCTGTTGCAGTGTCCGTCTCGTCCTCTCCGTAGGGGCCAGCTGCCGGTGCACTGCCTTGCAGAATGCACTGGATGTGGAAGAAGATGGATCTTGACACCTGGCTGTAATTTGAGGGGTGGAGATGCAATTTCAAAGCAAATTAATCTAAATCTCAGTCACTCACATGTGAATTATATCTAGACTGCATGTTCACAACACATTCTGCAAACAGGAAAATGTGTTTAGCAACTCTCATGACTGTTCTAGAATAAAATCTGTTTAAACCTGCAGCATGCCAGTTTCAAAAATCATCTTCTAAAATTCAAAGCTCCAATAATTACCTGGTTTCATCTGCGTCCACAACAGAAGAGACGAGATTTTTGATGGACAGCTGCTCCTGCTCTGCTGCTCCTGCACCAAAGCTTCCAAGAGGAGCTTGTGACCTTTGTGTTTGAACAGATGTTACGGTGGCGTTGCAGAGGACGCCCAAAGCCTCGAGTGCAATGTCTCTATCAACCATATTTACAGTTAGCTCTTGTATCACAAGAGTAATCAACTGAGTTTTCTAAAGTCCTGTCTTCCAGCTGGATGAAATAATGAAACTAAACTGAACACTTCCTGTTATGAAAAGGTGTGGTGGTGAACAGGTATGAACCTGTCAAGTTGCATACCACCCAAGTTTATTCACTGAATTTGAGCAGCTTAAGTTTCATTAAAAACTGGAAGGTAATACTTTTGACAGGTAGCATACATGATATATATTGTATATGTGTGCATGATTTATATTTATAGTGTAGTATATAGTGTATACAATAAAGATTTTAAAAAAGTGTAGATATCTGTAGGAACTGTTTGCATTAACTGTTGGTTTCATCACATTTTTCTTTTGGGTGATCTAAAATAAGTTTACGGCTCTTTGTACCATTTAATGTTATTTACTTGATTTGAGCTGCTTAAATTTCAATAAAAACTGGAAAAACTGGGCTGCTCAAAATAGTTGACCAGAAGTGGACATATGCTTATTTATAGTGTAGTATATAGTGTATAAAATAAAGATACAGAATGTGAGGAGGCCGAGTGGAAAATGCACAAAATAAATGAATAAATCCTCTAGGAAGAACAAACCCTGATTCACTCTTCTGCTTTATCCTGTTTATATCCAGCTAACAACTTGTAAAAGTCATTACAAGAAATATTCTGAACTCTATTTAATTTCAGATGAAATGGCGAAAGACACACATGTTTTACTTCACTTGTGAGGACAGTGGATATCTTCAGTGGAGGTTTAAGTATATGCTGTGAAGTTTGTCGCATTTTTCTTTTATTTATTTATTTATTTTTTTCCACCTCAGCCTAAACCTTTTAATGATTTTGACATTTTTCCTCTTGAATTGCTGGTTCTTCAAACACAAGTTAAATGCAAGTCGGCGGTAGAGAGTCTGGACGCTCTTAAGCGATGTGGGAGCAGAGACCAACGTCTATGCAATGATACTTCAAGCTAAATGGTTTGAACTTTTATTTTCCAGTGCAACAAATATGAATGTCTTCCAGGAGAGTCTGTCTGAATATGTGCATGTTTATTTCCTACATTTTTTACCCCTGACTTTATTATTTCAGCAAACTCTTACATAGTTTTAAATCAACTTTACTAGCGAGCTCACAGATATTTATGAACAATCAGTAGTGATACTTAAGACATTTATTTCAGAACATCAATAAGAGCAGCGAGACGGAGACAATGAAAAGTAGAATCAGGTGCAGAAAAACTTCAGCAAACCTCTGAATATTTTCATAATTAAAACATAATACTCGATTCAGTAAAAACGTTCAAACTGATTATAGAACGCTTTAGTGTGTGATACAAGCTAGGGTAATTCTGTTTTTAAGAGTTCTAAGTACAGAGACCTGCTGAGTCCAGTTAATGGCAGAGGAGCACAACCGATTTGAGGATTGGTTCGGTAATAGCACCCTCTGAGTCAAGGGATGCTTGAGCGAATGCATAGTAGAGCCAATCAGGTTAGATTGTAGTAGGGCGGCAGAGTTCGTAGTATGTAAGCCATCATACCTGTTAAACACTACAATGGGCTTTTAAATGTCCAACTTAAAGATTTGAGTCCAGAAACCACGCGTTCGTTTAGAATCGTATCCAAGTATAATGAGTTAATTCTGGTAGTTTTGCCTAATTGCTACCAGCTGTCTTAGAGGAAATGACAAAAGCTATAGACCAGAAGTCATAGTTGCTGTTGTTCCTGGTAGTGTATTCCCTTTATATATGGTTTAATTAAACTTAAAAAAGGATAACTTATTATGTACCACAATATTCAGAATCTAAAACAAGGATGCAATTGACTCTTTTCAATTCCTTTTCTACTACAATCCAGTTTGAAATCATGACGAGAAAGCTGTCCCTAATCGTTGAAGGTAATCAGAACACCTATGACATTGTTAATTAACTTTGCCTGGCAGCCTGGATCGTCACGACTATTAAAATCTTGAAGACGATGGTTCCTATATCTCCTGTTGTGGTGTTTTGTTCTTCCTCCACAACAAAACAAATCTGTGAGGCAAGCATACAGTAAACCAAGCTGCTATTGCCTTATATTTTCCACTTACATTCAAAAATTTATAATCCAAAATTTATGACTGCACTGTTTAAAATTGTTAATAAAAAGGGGGACAACAATCGTTTTTTTCACATTGTTATCACTTTAAACCACTAGTATACACGAAATGCGTGCGCTCTGTAGGTTCGAGAGAGGGGTTCAACAGGGTGTTTATAACCCGCTCTCCACCTCTAAAGTTCCGGTCATTTTAACGTGTTCTCGATCATAAATTCCATCATATAAATGAGCTCAGTCTACATTCAATGAACTCCAATCTATACAGGCTTTCTAAATGTTATCCCCCTATTAATCAGACTCAAGACTTAAAGGATATCACTTCCATTGTATGAATGATCTAGGCATATGATGTCTAGTGCATTGACTAATATATAGCGACGGTTCGTGCAGCTTCGTTTATCGCGGGAGTGAGAATGTTAGCATTCGCAAAAGGTCCTGTTGGCTGGGAATAGCGCCGACTCAGTGCGGGGGTGTTTGGATATAACAGGAAAGCTCGATGGTGTACTAGAGTTAGCCAAAGTCTCTCTAAATGCTTGTAGACAGTAACGAGTAGCCGGTGAGCAGATAACAACAGGAACCTTGAGCGAGAGATCGTAAACCAGAGTACGATAGCAGTATAAGAGGCCGACTGCTTGTGGTATGTGAATGTCGTGCTCTGACAATGGTACCTTGGAACAGAGAGACTCTATCTAGAAAAGCAGATACCGGTAGCGTCAGTAAAAAACATGCTTGAAAATCTATGCACGCCATGCACAAAACGAAATGAACACAGTAATACCTTGTGATTTTGGAATTTCGAATAACAATCTCTGTAAGGTAATTGTAGACCTAAAATGATGGTGACTATATGGGAAAATAAAAAAAACCCTCCTGAGACGAGAATTATAAACCATGAACTGCCAACAACGATGAACAAAAGCCCTTGCACCAGATCAAATATAACACACATAGAGACCATGTAAATATTTCTGTAACACTTTTGTGAATTTCAGACATATACATGCTATCTGCATAATGAGAATATGCTCACATTTTGAAACATATATTACCCGAGGAGTCGGAATATACACCACCTCGTTAATGTACATCTGTAACTTAATCTCAACACAACTGAAAAACCTTTTAATGAGCTTCTCAGTTTGCTCGACAAACATCTGTATTGTCTACTGGTAATCAGAGAATAAATATAAACAAAAATGGCTCAGGATTCCTGATAAAACCGTCTTCCAAGGATTTTGAGATCATTTTATTAAAAATCCTGAAGAATGTCAGTCAACTCATGGGGAGAAGATGACACTGATCCAGACAACTGGTAAAACTGGTGACTGTGACCCTCTGCCACCGCATCGGTGTAGTGTCCGTTTGGACTTGCTCGCCCTACCCTCCTGCATCCTAGAGATCATCACGAGATAGACTCGCAACTCTTCAAGGTTGGGATTTTTTGTGTTGATCAAACAAGGGCCAACATCGCTGCATGCCTGAGTGACTCCACCTGCGCGCACGGAATGTCCAAGGGTGGGTATTACCGTAGTACGTGACGTGAGTCTCCATGTCTTTCCCACAAACTTGCTGGTGGAAGTGTGAGGCTAGCAAGGCGGCGACTGTGGAGGGGGGCGCGTGACACAGGTGGCGGGCTCGCTCATGGTATCAGCCACAGAGACTGGCAACGGCTGGTCATGGTCAGGGGATGGTCATCTCGAGGGCGTGCCGCCTGACACATCCGCTATGACTGGCAAGGGGGCACGGGGCTAAGCTAAAAATGGAAAAGGCATCGGATTTTGATTGGCGGTAATTTTAAGGCATAAAATATCAAATCCATTTAAACATATGCCCAGCGAGGCCAGCCCCCAACAACATCTCTACTTGTGAATCATTTCTCATTGGACAGCTTTGGCACACATGCACCTGATCCCTTTAGTCTGATTACTCCTGTCTTTTTCAGACGTCTGAATTCTTGAATGATCTTGCTGAATAGTAACCGCTTTTTGTTGAATTTCCACTGTCAAATCCTGCTTTATCCACATCAGAGAGTGTTTATGTGGAGTCCCAGAGGAAGCGTGTTCGCTGCTGAGGCCCCTACCGCGTTTCAGCGACTCAACATAAATTAATCATCAAAGGATCAGTCCCCACGAGGGAATCTTCCCCTTCCTCAGGCGGACAGGGGTCGTAGGCTTTGATAGCAAGTATGATGGGCCTACTGAATATATGAGCAGTAATGGTGTTATACATGTACAGCTGTCTCTGATGGTAACTTAGTGGGAGTGCTGTGTTTAAGCAGCACCAGAGCGTTAGAAGTAAGAGTTAATAGAAGCGTCAAAGGTGTCAACTGCAAGAAACCTGGTTGTTTACTCCTTGAGGTTCCTTCCTAAGACTGGGATTATGGTTCGATACACAGATGGTAAAATAACATTAACAACTACTTGCACTAATAACAAATAACACAGTGTAGTGTAATTCATGGTTGCAGAGTCTCACAGGTGAGCAGCATGCAACTGCCAACACTCAACAACATGTTGTGGCGGCTAGTGTCAGCAGTGTCAGCCCAGCTGGCTGGTTGGCAAGCCCTTTTTGAGCGTGGCTCATAGCGAAAAACACATTTATGTTACATTCCAAATCTTGTACAGAAGAATAAAGGAAACAGCCTGGTGAACATGTCTGAACAATCCGCCATGCGTATTCACAGCTCCATGCAGCCCCAGATTAGCATGTTTCGCCGCTTAAGGCATGCAGAATTACAAGTGTTTGTTTTCATGGACTGGCATAAATATTTCTGTGAAGGGTGTATTGTTCATGTTAGTGGCTTGGCTCAGCCCCACCTTTCCAATCACACATGAGGCCACAGAGGATCATACGCCCCCTCCCAATCTGTATCCAAGCGCAGTGGCCTGCAGTAGAGAGA